TAGCTCTTGACCTAGACTAGACCTAACGATCCAACTGACAGCTGGCAAGCTGCCAAGCTTGTTGGCGGTTGTGGGCCAGGAGCTCTCAGCGCACTTGCCAGCAAATTTGTGGTTTGCAATTCGCCTTCATGCCAAGAGCATCTCTGACGGCAATGGTTGGGGTGAGCAGAAAGGGACAGCCTTTCATTGACAGCAGTGAGGGGTTCCGTGGCCCACGATCCAAGAATCTTATTCACCAGGTTGGCAACTGTCGTGCAGGGCGGCTACACTACACTACACCAGACAGCAAGCAGCAACAGCGGAGGCTGCTGTCGCTCGCGGTTGTTCTGTGTCGGAGACTGTTGCAACGAACAACGGCAGCAAAACATGGGCGCCAACACCAAGAGCTGTGCCACGCTGAAGCTTTCCTCGGGGTTCCTTGCTTGGGACAACGGGCAATCCAGGGTGTCTGGAAGTGTTTATAAGATCAACTAACTAGCGCACGGCGCACCAGCGCACTTGCCAGCAAATGTCTTGTCGCATTCTAGTAGTGGCGGTACTGTCCAGCTGCTCTATTAAACTGATAAAGTCCTGCCAAAGTGAAATAAATTATCCTTGCCTTCTTCACGACAGGCGTGTGCTTGAGTCAAGCTGCTTGAGTAACAAACACGCGTTGACTTGACCGAGTGGAAAGTGTCAAGCTTTGCTTCGCGTGCCAATGTAGTAGGTCGACAGACAGGCTCTTGCGCGGCTCTGCTGGCCTGTGGTCACTGTGTTTTGTCGCTGTGCGGCAGGCAACAGTGTGTGTGTGTGTGTGTGTTGAGGCATTGCGTTGTTGCGCGCTGTTGTGCTTCCTGCTGTGTTGAAGCGCCTTGAAGACATGCTTGGCCTTGCCGTCTTGCCCTTCTGTCAAAACGACTAGCTCACCGCGCTGCGGCTTCCCATTTTTTGACTTGAGCGCGCGCGCAGAACAGATGCCTTGACTGTTTCCGCGCTGTGCCTTTTGCAATTGACTTGTATGATTGCTATTTGACAGGGAAACATGTTGAAGCAAGAGCTGGAGCTGCCCTTGGAGAAAAAAGGCGCCTCAGTTTGTTAGGGTTTGGCGTGTGCAGTGCGTGTCTTGGGTTTTGTAGTTGGTGGGGAACTTTGAGCGATTTTCATGTGTTTCCAGAAAATGGGAGTTGTCAGACCCAGGCGCCAAATGCTCAAGTGTGACAGGAAGGCACTTCAGTTGGCCGCGGCCCATGTGCTATGATTGCCACGCGTTGTGTTGAGGTCTTGCACCCCTATTCTGTGAATTGCTGTGCTGGCTGTTTGGTTTGTTTGGCCCAGTTTTGGCAACGGAGGTGTAAAGGGGCCTGACCTATTAAGAAGAAGAAGGAACGCAAATGATTAACATTTTTTTAGGCAAATCAAAGTAGTCTCTGCCACAACCCCATTTTCTTTGCATGTGCCAAGCGCAGTCCACTTCCTAGTTTTTCTTTTTTGTTTTTGTTTTGCGTGTCAAAATTTCAGACCCATTTTTCCTGCTTTCTGGAAACCCATTTTCTTTGCTTATTTTTTACATTAAGAATATTTAGGTTTTTTACAAAACTTGGCCACAAGGAAACGTCACAACGCAAGATTGGCTCAAGAGCCAGTACGAGCTAAAGCCTGCGAACGCTGAGTTCGTGGTCGACGCAGTTCAAGGCTTACGCGACCCTTCGGCCACTCTGGCATGCACTAGTCACGCTTCTTTTGGCGGGCCAGTTTTGCGTTCAGTGTTACGTCAGTTGGCATGTTTCATGGCAGCCCGTGCGCTGAAAGGCGCTGACCTTTGCAGACCTCGTGAACGACAGCAGCTATCCAGAGTTCAAATACCAGCATGTTTGGGTGTACAGGCTCCTAACAGACATACCAAAATGTGGGTACATTGAAGATGCGCAGCTCTTGAAAAGCACAGTCGCCGGCGAAGTGGTGGATGTGGCAATCGGCAAGAGGAAGGGCAAGCGCTGTATTCCCGTCTTCTATGGTGAAAGTGGCAGCGGGAAGACCCTGCAGTCTCAGCTTGCGCCAGCTCTGAAGTTACGCAATAATTCATGCATAGTTCGCTTCTTCAGCAAGACTATTGACGATGACGACCCAATCCTCGACAACGTCAGGAGACTACACCAGCAACAGCAATAACTTGTGTAAGACTTGGACTCTCAGCGTGCTCTTCGCGCAGATCAAGGGTGCTTTTTGGCAACATGAGAAGGTGGTTGAAGCATGGTTTGGCAATTCAAGCCGGAACAAGCAAGACCTTGGCACCATCGTGTTTGTCATTGATGAGATTAGCAAGTGCATAGAACTGGCTCGTGGCATCGCTTCAGTACAAGATGAGATCTTGGAGCTAGAAAGGTATTGCGCATCTGCTCAGCTTGTCATGGCCGGAACGGCTGCTACGTACATTCTGGGCACTCCAGGTAAACTCAGTTCTGATCCAGAAGCGGTTTGCTTGACACAGGTTGGCGTTGTCCAGGGCACGACATATCTCGACAGCCTGCTAACGCACGAGTTACAAAAGGACACGGGCGTGAACTTGAAGGACTTGCAAGTCGCATCCCTGCGCCCATACCTCAGCAATGCCCGAACGGCATGGTTCATGATTGAAATGCTGCGCCATTTCACTTGGGCACCAAAGGAGGTCAGCCCCAAGAGTGCAGGCTCAATTTGGAAGCGCTACCCAGCAGCCACGGGCTGCTACGTGCCCTTGATGTACAGAACAACGAACGGCTTGCAGCGATTGAAGACTGCTAAAGAACGCGAGGACATTGCCAACCGGGTGCCGACCTTCTGACACCAGACATGATGCCGACGCTTCAAGAAGCTGTAGAGTGTGTAAGCCTCGGGCTGTGCAACGTTTCAAACTATAGCCAAGCCCAAGGTATCCTTGAACAAGATCGGCGAAGCAAGACGTATCGGGATCGCCTGATTTTCCAGTCTTCACCCGCTTTGGCGCACATGCTGTTTGCAGCTTTCGATGTGCCCGAGGTAGTCCCGCAGGACGGGGATTCGCTGGAGGCGGTCATAATGGAGGCGGAAAGACGCTTCTCAGAGGTGCTGACGGGCCGGAAGGCCACGCTTTGACTCTACCACATGCGATGCATCCGCCGTGGACGACAGCGTGGCTCCGGCGACGGTGCCGGTGGCTGTGAGCGCTGCGCAGGAAATCGCGCCCAAGGCGTCCACGCCCGTCGTGGGCGCGTCCGTGCAGTTCACGTCGTTGCACAGCAGCTGGTCGCAGCCCACGTTGCCCTGCGCAGTGAGGCCGTCCAGCGTGGCCGAGCCCGTGAGGGCCAGCGAGTCGGCCAGCAGGTCCGTTACTGAGACAGACTCGCGGCAGGGCGAGTGAATGGTGAAAAACACTCCGTCAGCGATGCTGCGAGGACGGCGTCGCGCGCTGGCCCGGTGATGGGTTTTTCGGCCAAAAAAAGCGAAGTCGGAATTCCGACCTCGGTAGGAGGGCAAAGTCGGAATTCCGACCTCGGTGTAGAGCAAAGTCGGAATTCCGATTTTGGGTGGCGCAGGCTCGGCAGGCTGGAGGCTTCTATGCCGGGCAGGTGGCGCGCCAGGCTGGAGGCTTCTATGCCAGGCAGGTGGCGCGGCCGGGAGGCTTCTCTGCCAGACAGGAGTGTGGCGCGCTAGGTGCCGAAGCCTCCACGTTGTCGGCTCCGATGCCGGGCAGGCACGTGGCGCGCTCCACGTTGTCGGCGGGCTGGCGTGGCTCCGATGTGGCGCGGCCGGGGTGGAGGCTTCTATGCCAGGCAGGTGGCGCGGCAAGGGGGTCGGAGCTCGGAGGTTTTTTGGGCCGTTATAGGAACCTCTAGGAACCCCTAGGAAACCTGTAGGAAACATAGGAAACCCATAGGAAACCCATAGGAAGCCCTCTTCTTCTTTTCTATGGACTTCCTATGGCTTTCCTATGGGTTTCCTATAGGTTTCCTATAGGTTCCTATAGGTTCCTATAAGGGCCTAAAAAACTCCAAGCTCCCAGGCCGGGTGAGGCTTCTATGCCAGGCAGGTGGCGCGGCAGGGCTTCAATGCCAGGCTCAATATTGAATCAACTTTGAATCATCTTGAGTCAACAATGGATCAATATTGAATCAACTTTGAATCATCTTGAGTCAACAATGGATCAATATTGACAGGTCCACCTCTCTCTTTAGAGGGGGTTTCCCAAATGGATTCTATTCTACCTGACAGGCTCCTAGCACTCGTCCGTCCAGGAAACGACCTCGTCCTGCGAAGGATTCGAAACCTAAAACGCTGCGTACAGGCGTGTGGCTGCAAAATAAGGACCCCTAGATATGCGCCGCAATTTGGCTCCAGGTTGCATTTCAAGCGAGGTCAAGCTTTGCCAAAGGAAACCACTTTTCCCTTTTTTTCGGGACCCCTTTTTTTGAGACCCCTTGTTTTCTGTGTTTTTTTTTGTTTTTTTCTTAGCCCTGCAAAGGTTGGCTCGCTTGAAATGCAACCTGGAGCCAAATTGCAAGCGTATCTAGGGGTCATTATTTTGCAGCCACACGCCTGTACGCAGTGTTTTAGGTTTCGAATCCTTCGCAGGACGAGGTCGTTTCCTGGACGGACGAGTGCTAGGAGCCTGTAGAATAGAATCCATTTGGCCGGTGGGCCCGTGCGGCGTTCCTCGCACGCCGAAGCCGGATCACGTTCAGGCACCCCTCCAAGTCGGCCGGAACGTCTGGCTGTCCGACAGGTTGGTGAAGCTCGTGTTGCAGACCGGCTCTTCAACCTGCAGCTCCAGCCCGCTTCGTCAGAAAGAGATCATCCCAGAACCTGGAGGTTCAGTTGTTGCGTTTTTTCCCCGACATTTGACCAAAAACACGTCAACGCGAAAGAAACATGTGCAAAACACGTCAGTGTCATGTTTTCCGGTTTAGGCCCCAGGGGTCGACACTGCAGCAAAAGGCAAAATCGGCAAGCCTGTTTTATTTTACCTCCATGCGTCAATCCAATGCAATGTCGCTGTACACAAATATCTACGCATTGCATTGGTGCCAGTGCCACCCGGAAGCTATATTACACATGCGCCGGACAAAGTCCTCATCGCCAAAGCAATTGTTGACTTTTAAATTCAAAGGGCAAAGCTTCAGGCGGCGCCACTGGTGCAACCAGAAGTGCAGCCTCGGGCGGCTGGATCTGCGGGTCACACGACAAGCAAAACACAGCTCAGCGGCTTTGGTCGCAGTTTGTACCGCCGCATGCTAGCACAGTGCGCTGAGTAGGCAAGCCAGTTATAGCCAAGCACGAAGTTGGCGCTGGCCTTGATGCCCTTGTCAATGTCATATTCGCTGATGAAGAATCCATTGTTTTCTACGATCTTGAGGCAAGTTTTCAGGGCCCGCACCGTCCTGAGCTAGTTGCGTATATGCAGTTAATGGTGCGGGTGCCTAACCTATTCTATCAAAGGCGCACGTCGAGAACAGCAGCATGTTCAGGGTCATGATGTTTCCCACTAGCACGCCAAGCCGGAAGGATCTCAGCCTTATTCATTCAATGATAGGCTCAAGCAAGCGGGTTTTTCGCGGGAGCTTAGTGCGCGCCCAAGGGGCAAGCCAGAACACAAGAACTTTGCAGTCATGCCCCTTAGCGTAGAGCGTTGGGTAGCCCTCATCCGCCCCAATCGTAAACTCGTCGCAAGACAGCTCGCACTTACGGCCGCCAGCGCGCGACCAAGCGTGCGCCATATCAAAGGCGCAGCGAAGAGCCGAATCGCCCCCGCCAAAAACATCCAGCAAGGCTGAAGCCAGCAAGTCAGGCGAAAACCCGCGGTGCGCGACGTGCAGTAGGTCATCAAATATTGTTGTGACTGAGAAGTCCGGCAGTTTGAGCAGCGGCCTCACAAAGGTGCGGGAGCAGGTCAGCAGCGCGCGGAACTCCTTGGCTATTTGTTTTGTTCTGGTTGTTGTTGGGCTGTGTAGCTCGCGTGCAAAATCGCTTTTACGTGCCAGCCATAGGGGCAGCATCTGTTTCTTCACTGCCGAGCCAGCCGGCGTCGCCAAACACATTAAGGTAATGGTTGGAGCCAGCACTACAGTGCGTGAGGCCATCACTCGGGTCTGCCGTAGTTGCCAGCCTAAGCCCGGAGCAGCCGGAACAAATTCTGGCTCACAGGGTTAGTGCGTACAAGTTGCTTGCAAGCGTGGCACATCCTGCAAATCACTAACACGCTAACTCAGCACAACCAAGTTCCATGTCAGACGGAGATTGCTAGTTATAAGCGATATCAAACAACGAGTCGGGTCACTATTCGTTGTTTGATATGGTGAGTTAGTTTCCTATTGTTGCGCTACGCGCGCCCAGCCGCCCCGTCCTGTTTCCATTCGCCACACCGTTCCCTTTCCAGTGCCGGAAACTCAGATCACATGTTTTCTGCAGAAAAACAAGGTAAAGGAGCCCTTAGCGCCAGACAAGTGGAACACTTGCTGGTGCCACTTCAGGTCCCCTCCGATAGCGTAGTATCTGCCACGCACAGTTCGGCCATCAACATTGATTTCCCTTAGCTAGCCATTCTTTGCTTCCCGGCAATGCGTTTTTCATTGTGCTTTCCAACCAGGGAGCAGCGTGTTCAGATCTTCAACCAATATATCCATGATCTCATCCACAGTGCTCCGGCACTTGTTTCGTTTTTGAAGCTGCCTGGTGATCAAGAAGTGGCCTGGAACCAGGCCTCGAGGCAAAATGCGTATATCTGTTTGACATCAATTGACGTGATATTGTTTCCTGCTCGCACGCAAAACACTCGAGCGGCCAAGTTGCATAGGGGAAGCCGGGTCAACAATGTGTCCTGGGCCACGCGGTTTTGGCGTGTTTAGTTTGTAAAAAGGAGCTCGCGGCTAAGCTTCCCCAGAGTGGCTCCACGGCGTTGAGACAGATACCACCAAAAGGTTTCTTTTCTTGAAATAGGGGCCTTCATCGCCATGCACGCGAAGGGGCACATCAAAAGGTCCTGCAACACACAATGCCTAGAACGGTCGCGGTTCCGTAAGGAGGCTCCTAGCTTTGGTCGGTTGTTGTACATGGCTGATTTGTTGAGCCGCTGGTTGAACCTGAAGGCGATGCAAAAAAACGCTACCGATTGATGGTATTGAGTCCAAGTAGCAACTCGCGTTCTTCAGCTGAAGTGTCCCCAAATAAAAGCATTTTGAGTAGCTTTGGCCTGGTGCTGAGCCATTTCATGAAGGAGCTGGGGAGGACAAAGCCTGGGTCAAAGCGAAGCAATCCCCAAAACCCAAACACCCAGTTTGCGCCGCACGCAATGCTGAATTGAGTGAAGGGGCTGAATTTCTTGTAAACCAGTTTGCCTTTCACCACTACATGCAACTTCCGCAGTGTTACAGCTGGTAGGTCACGCCGCAGTCGCCCGTGCCAGCGACGCTCAGAGCGAACCCCCGCCAAAACATTTGTTTGATGACGCCGGGACCCTTCCATGGTAGCAGCGCGGCACATCTCAGACATAAACTTCACGCTGGCCCCCTTGTGCTGGAATCCCTTCATAGCAGTTTTTGCAACCGGTGTATCTGCAAGATGCTCTATGTTGCTGAAGGGGGCCCACTCAGGTAGTTCAACTGCAGGCGCGCGCGTTTTGTCCTTCTCCTTCTGTTTCTCGATCTGATTGAAAGTTCTCTTTGCCCTGCGATTAGGCTTCAATTGCGGCGGTTGCCTGGCCAGGGGTCAGCGAGCTAAAGGCGTATCATCTTCAGGTGCATCAGCATGGCCGCTGCTAGATCTAGCACCTGCGAGCGCAGTTGTTCTTTCAGGATCATTTAAAAAAAACACACCTTGGCTTGCCATGAAATCGCACCCCCCCCCCCCCCCGGCATGCTCCAAAACCAGAATTTGGGACGCAGGTCTAGCGCAGCAAGCGTTTTCTTCCCGGCTTCACGCTACAGGATCTACGATCGCAATTTGCCAATTCCCCAAGACATGCTTTTTGCATGGCATGTACAACCCGACAATCTCACAATGGGATTGAAACCAATGTAGAACTACTTGCTAGCAGCGGGCCCGCTGGCGTTGCTCACAGCTTTGGCGCACCCGTTGGCGAACTCCTGGCAGTAGGCAAGGCTACAGGCATGCTAGCGCACTGCGCGCGTCCTCCTTAAGATTGAAGCGTAGGTATGCCTCCCCCACAGCCTGCAACAATGTTTTTGCCCAAGCGTTCCCGCAAAAGAAAAACCAGCCTTAACCTTGTCCCCCCAGATTTGTTCAGGCTCATCGTCAGAAACGGCTTTCATTTCCTGGCTGCAGGGTAGCATTCACTAACACGTGCAAACAAAGAAACATAGGCCAAGCCTTCCAGCACTGCTCCAGAGCATTCTTTGCCGCGGTCAACTCGTCCATCGCGTCCTTGGCAGCTGCGTAGTCCGCGATCTTGACTGCGATGCGTGCGTAGGCCCCCGCCTTCGCGTAAGCTGGAGCGCAAGACCCCACAGTTAACAGTATACATGTTTCGCCCGCCTTTGCGATGATTTCCTTTTCAGCCAATTTTTTGGTCTCGCCGCGGTGCACGATCGGGAAAGGCGCGCTGAGGTTGCTCGCTTTCATTTTCTTTAGCTCCCACACCGCGATAGGGTTCCCCTCAGCGTCTTTTTTGGTCTTGGTTCCCTTGCCTTTGGCCTTAGCCTTTGCTTTGGCCTTTGCTTTCGGCTCGCCTGCGAGAAAAAAACTCTGGGTTTGCGCAATTTGGCTCAAGGCAAACATGAAGGGCCTTCGCCGGCTGGAGGAACAGCCCCTTGCTGCTGCGGAGGCACATCTGCGAGCGCTGGTGTGGCGCCCCTCCTGATTTTCAATTTGCTCGGTCAGTGACATGCACGGCTAGGCCAAATGCATTACAAGAGTCAACTCAGAGAAAAGAGCTTTGGCTTCAGGGCGTTGGTCTTGCGCCAAAGGGACGATTTTGGCCTTATACTCTTCTGCACGCTTGTGGATATCCGTCTCAGTATCCTCCACAATCAGTTTATAGACAAAGGCGGATGAGACGTTGGGGTCGGCCTTGCAACCTCAAATCGTTTCAAGGGCAACTGTTTTGTTCTATCCGGAAAATGTTCAGGAAATGAAATCATTACCACGAGCAATTTGGCAACATCAAGCACCAATAGAAAATCTAGGGCCCCAAAAAGAACATATACTCAAGCAACATTTCATGTTCATTGGATGGAAAAATCAAAGTTGGGAAAGTTGGGCTAGTGCACGCCCAGCAGATTTAGCCTCGCGCATGGCTGCTTCGGCTTTGGCGCTGTTGTTGCAGTAGAGCTGCAAAACCTTTTCCTCGCTCATCCAATTCGTTTTCAACTCCCCAGACCTAAGAGCTAGCATGAGATTGTTTCAAGAGACTACTGTGAAGCTGGGGGTCAGGCTTTGATTGAATCTCCTTGATGATAATTTCCAGGGAAACCGAAGCAACATCCTGTTGACAAGACATCCACTTTTTCAGCAAGGCTTGCCTCTGAGCACCCCCAGCCCTCCATGCGGAAATCATCTCAAACGAGCCCCTGTTGGGGTTGGTGCAGCACCGACGGAGTGAGCTAAGAGCGGCTTGCGTAGGCTGCGCGTCTGCCTCGGTTGGACGAGAAGTAATTTGAGTTATTGCGTGAGCCGTGCCTCCCCAGAACCCGAAGCGGTTGGGCTCGAAGTTGACTGGTCCAGTGGCTGGCCCGGTGGGGCAGTGGCAGGAGCTGGCTGGGAGGTGGGCGCAGCGGGTGCAGCGGGGGTCGCCGGCGACGGTTGCTTGGGAGAAGCTGGGCTCGGGTGGCTCGGTGTGCTTGCGGGCGTGGTAGCTGCTGTAGTTGGTGTGGCCAGCTCAGGCTTAGCCACAGGCGGCTGGGCGGGCGGCGTGCGTTGCTCCTCCAAATCCACCACCACTTCCTGCTTTGTAGGTGTAGCGCGCGCATTTTTGAGAACCGCGTTCAAGTCCTCATGCGCTAGGCCGCGGCGAAGCTTTGCGTTTCGCATCTCCGCAGCTGCTATCGCTTCTCTAACGCGTTGCTTTCTTGCCAAGCGTGCGTTGAGTGCCTGCTCCTCCTCGTCCAGTTTCCGAAGTTGCTCCAACAACATGTTTTCCTCCTCATCCTCCTCTAGGCCATCAGTTGCTGGTTCGTTGAGTGGTTTCTTCGGCGCGGCTTTGGATTTGTTTGCGGCTAGGTTTTTGAAGGGCTTGGTCGCACGTATGGGCACATCATCGATGAAGGGGGAGCCTGGGGC